CCTCCTCTCTACTCCCTCTCTCTGGGCTGCTGGCTAGAGACACTCCTCCATCCTCCTCTCTGCTCCCTCTCTCTGGGCTGCTGGCCAGAGACACTCCTCCATCCTCCTCTCTGCTCCCTCTCTCTGGGCTGCTGGCCAGAGACACTCCTCCATCCTCCTCTCTGCTCCCTCTCTCTGGGCTGCTGGCCAGAGACACTCCTCCATCCTCCTCTCTGCTCCCTCTCTCTGGGCTGCTGGCCAGAGACACTCCTCCATCCTCCTCTCTGCTCCCTCTCTCTGGGCTGCTGGCCAGAGACACTCCTCCGTCCTCCTCTCTGCTCCCTCTCTCTGGGCTGCTGGCCAGAAACACTCCTCCGTCCTCCTCTCTGCTCCCTCTCTCTGGGCTGCTGGCCAGAGAAACTCCTCCATCCTCCTCTCTGCTCCCTCTCTCTGGGCTGCTGGCCAGAGACACTCCTCCATCCTCCTCTCTGCTCCCTCTCTCTGGGCTGCTGGCCAGAGACACTCCTCCATCCTCCTCTCTGCTCCCTCTCTCTGGGCTGCTGGCCAGAAACACTCCTCCGTCCTCCTCTCTGCTCCCTCTCTCTGGGCTGCTGGCCAGAGACACTCCTCCGTCCTCCTCTCTGCTCCCTCTCTCTGGGCTGCTGGCCAGAAACACTCCTCCGTCCTCCTCTCTGCTCCCTCTCTCTGGGCTGCTGGCCAGAAACACTCCTCCGTCCTCCTCTCTGCTCCCTCTCTCTGGGCTGCTGGCCAGAAACACTCATCCATCCTCCTCTCTGCTCCCTCTCTCTGGGCTGCTGGCCAGAGACACTCCTCCATCCTCCTCTCTGCTCCCTCTCTCTGGGCTGCTGGCCAGAGACACTCCTCCATCCTCCTCTCTGCTCCCTCTCTCTGGGCTGCTGGCCAGAGACACTCCTCCATCCTCCTCTCTGCTCCCTCTCTCTGGGCTGCTGGCCAGAGACACTCATCCATCCTCCTCTCTGCTCCCTCTCTCTGGGCTGCTGGCCAGAGACACTCCTCCATCCTCCTCTCTGCTCCCTCTCTCTGGGCTGCTGGCCAGAGACACTCCTCCATCCTCCTCTCTGCTCCCTCTCTCTGGGCTGCTGGCCAGAGACACTCCTCCATCCTCCTCTCTGCTCCCTCTCTCTGGGCTGCTGGCCAGAAACACTCATCCGTCCTCCTCTCTGCTCCCTCTCTCTGGGCTGCTGGCCAGAGACACTCCTCCGTCCTCCTCTCTGCTCCCTCTCTCTGGGCTGCTGGCCAGAAACACTCCTCCGTCCTCCTCTCTGCTCCCTCTCTCTGGGCTGCTGGCCAGAAACACTCCTCCGTCCTCCTCTCTGCTCCCTCTCTCTGGGCTGCTGGCCAGAAACACTCATCCATCCTCCTCTCTGCTCCCTCTCTCTGGGCTGCTGGCCAGAGACACTCCTCCATCCTCCTCTCTGCTCCCTCTCTCTGGGCTGCTGGCCAGAGACACTCCTCCATCCTCCTCTCTGCTCCCTCTCTCTGGGCTGCTGGCCAGAGACACTCCTCCATCCTCCTCTCTGCTCCCTCTCTCTGGGCTGCTGGCCAGAGACACTCCTCCATCCTCCTCTCTGCTCCCTCTCTCTGGGCTGCTGGCCAGAGACACTCCTCCATCCTCCTCTCTACTCCCTCTCTCTGGGCTGCTGGCTAGAGACACTCCTCCATCCTCCTATCTGCTCCCTCTCTCTGGGCTGCTGGCCAGAGACACTCCTCCATCCTCCTCTCTGCTCCCTCTCTCTGGGCTGCTGGCCAGAGACACTCCTCCATCCTCCTCTCTGCTCCCTCTCTCTGGGCTGCTGGCCAGAGACACTCCTCCATCCTCCTCTCTGCTCCCTCTCTCTGGGCTGCTGGCCAGAGACACTCCTCCATCCTCCTCTCTGCTCCCTCTCTCTGGGCTGCTGGCCAGAGACACTCCTCCGTCCTCCTCTCTGCTCCCTCTCTCTGGGCTGCTGGCAAGAAACACTCCTCCGTCCTCATCTCTGCTCCCTCTCTCTGGGCTGCTGGCCAGAGACACTCCTCCGTCCTCCTCTCTGCTCCCTCTCTCTGGGCTGCTGGCCAGAAACACTCCTCCGTCCTCCTCTCTGCTCCCTCTCTCTGGGCTGCTGGCCAGAAACACTCCTCCGTCCTCCTCTCTGCTCCCTCTCTCTGGGCTGCTGGCCAGAAACACTCATCCATCCTCCTCTCTGCTCCCTCTCTCTGGGCTGCTGGCCAGAGACACTCCTCCATCCTCCTCTCTGCTCCCTCTCTCTGGGCTGCTGGCCAGAGACACTCCTCCATCCTCCTCTCTGCTCCCTCTCTCTGGGCTGCTGGCCAGAGACACTCCTCCATCCTCCTCTCTGCTCCCTCTCTCTGGGCTGCTGGCCAGAGACACTCCTCCATCCTCCTCTCTGCTCCCTCTCTCTGGGCTGCTGGCCAGAGACACTCCTCCATCCTCCTCTCTGCTCCCTCTCTCTGGGCTGCTGGCTAGAGACACTCCTCCAACCTCCTCTCTGCTCCCTCTCTCTGGGCTGCTGGCCAGAGACACTCCTCCATCCTCCTCTCTGCTCCCTCTCTCTGGGCTGCTGGCCAGAGACACTCCTCCATCCTCCTCTCTGCTCCCTCTCTCTGGGCTGCTGGCCAGAGACACTCCTCCATCCTCCTCTCTGCTCCCTCTCTCTGGGCTGCTGGCCAGAGACACTCCTCCATCCTCCTCTCTGCTCCCTCTCTCTGGGCTGCTGGCCAGAGACACTCCTCCATCCTCCTCTCTGCTCCCTCTCTCTGGGCTGCTGGCCAGAAAACACTCCTCCATCCTCCTCTCTGCTCCCTCTCTCTGGGCTGCTGGCCAGAGACACTCCTCCATCCTCCTCTCTGCTCCCTCTCTCTGGGCTGCTGGCCAGAAACACTCCTCCGTCCTCCTCTCTGCTCCCTCTCTCTGGGCTGCTGGCCAGAAACACTCCTCCGTCCTCCTCTCTGCTCCCTCTCTCTGGGCTGCTGGCCAGAAACACTCATCCATCCTCCTCTCTGCTCCCTCTCACTGGGCTGCTGGCCAGAGACACTCCTCCATCCTCCTCTCTGCTCCCTCTCTCTGGGCTGCTGGCCAGAGACACTCCTCCATCCTCCTCTCTGCTCCCTCTCTCTGGGCTGCTGGCCAGAGACACTCCTCCATCCTCCTCTCTGCTCCCTCTCTCTGGGCTGCTGGCCAGAGACACTCCTCCATCCTCCTCTCTGCTCCCTCTCTCTGGGCTGCTGGCCAGAGACACTCCTCCATCCTCCTCTCTGCTCCCTCTCTCTGGGCTGCTGGCCAGAGACACTCCTCCATCATCCTCTCTGCTCCCTCTCTCTGGGCTGCTGGCCAGAGACACTCCTCCATCCTCCTCTCTGCTCCCTCTCTCTGGGCTGCTGGCCAGAGACACTCCTCCTTCTAGCACACCCCCCACCTTGAGGAACAAGATACAGGTTTGGTTCTGGGTGCCAAGATGAATACAGTCATAACACCCAACATTTACATATTTCTAATGTAGCCTGGTCCCAGATCTGTTTGTGCTGTCTTGCCAAGTTCTAGACAGCACAAACAGATCTGGGACCAGGCTAACAATGTTTCCATTATAAAGTGAATGAACTTAATGAGGGCAGAACCAGCAGGAAGTAAGAGCCAACAAAAGAAAAGCCATTAAATAGTTCTGGTAAGTTCTAGACTCTTCCAGTAAAGAGTGTGGTTAAGTCTCAAATGTCACCCTATGCACTATAGTCCCTGGTCAAAAGTAGTGCACTACACAGCGAATATGGTACCATTTGGGAAGCAAGCAATGTGAATAAAACAATGACAGTCACCACTCCATTCAGCTCTCTACATCACAGGCAATAAACCTCGGATTCATTTTGCTACAGTACACTACCCGGGAATCCACCAATGAAGAAGCCAGCAGTGATAACGACACCGTTGTCTGTGGTCTCTGCCAGGAGGGAAGGAGATAGAGAAAGAGAGAGAGAGGGGAGGGCTGGGAACCAGTGTTTTAAAATCACAGAGCTCAATTTACACCTTCAGGTTCCCACCCAATGGATTGGCTTCCTCTCTCTGCTCCATAAACGGTGTTGGGAAATAGGTAGAACATAGGTGTGTTATGCACGTGTAGGACCTCAATTTGATCACCCTGTTGTTGCAGGAAATGTACTGCTCAGCAGGAAATACAAACTTTGAAGTGTATTTTAGGTTTAAAAACAAAACAAAATTATCAACCCCTACAAAAATGTCCATTAATTATATAATCCACACAATAATTCACATTTCCTGTTGCCGCAGGATTATTCTCCTGCTGTGAGAAACAGGTCAAATGAAGATCCTGCACCTGTAGTTGGACAAGAGGTGGGTAAAGCCGCCAGCTGGTATAATCAGTAGACCACAGGAGTGAATCAACCTCACATTAAACAACCGTAACGGTCCCTGAAGGTGGTCCTGTCCATATACATGTAGACCTGTTCACTGCAGAGGGAGGCTGGATGAGATTAGGCTAGTGTTGTTTATAGTGTGAAATGAGATGGAGGCGAGACAGAGGCCATTTTGTTGTCCCAGTTCTAAATGCAGTAGAGAATGGAGTCCTAATAGTTGATGAAGACTTTGTCAACACATTAACAGGGCTCTGTTTGTATTTATTTTTAGGTTTGAATAGACTGCACTGTAAAATAATAATACTTTTGTTTTCACGGTAACTTACTGGCAGACAATTACCTGTAAGTTACTGGTTTTAAAAAGTCAGTATGTTACCGTAAATTCCAAAGACTGTAAATTACCGTAAATTAACAGTACTTACTGTAAACTGACTGCCAGTAAGTTACTGTAAAAACAACAGGATTTGTTTACAGTGTATGTCTGTACATTAACTAATCAACTACCTGGAACTTGAAGTGCATGGTAACCTACTAATGTCTGTGATGAGGTGGTGTTGAAGGAGTCAGGCGCAGGAGGGTAAATCACTGAATAACAGGATTTATTCTGAACCACAGAG